AAAAATCCCTTTTTGGTCAAACAAAATGTATCCTGGATACAAAGATTTTTTTAAAAAAGAGATGAAAATGAGCCTTTGGCTGAAGGAGACAGGGAATAAGGAAATGGGGTTGGACCTTGATCTTGGCAGCCAGTTTTCTGAGTGGCCAGAGGTAGGGCCGGTCACCTTAGTGTGTAAGTCTTGGTTTCCTCGTCTGCAAACTGTGGCTACAGCCAGCTCTACTGAGCCCCCAGGCTTGTCACAGGGGTCCATGGAGCTGTGACACCCATGACAGAGTAAGAGCAGGTGTCAGCGTTGCCTTGCCAAGGTTCTGCACTGCTCTCTGGGGACATAGAGGGTCGGCAGTCCCACTGGAGAGGACACACACACGTTGGGTACAAGCCTGACCAAGTGAGCCCAGCAGGTGACATGGGACAGAAAGCCCAGGCCCAACATCACATGCACATGTTCAAAGGGCAAAGTCCTAGATTAATGGTACTGAAGAGGGTGGCATTCAAGCCAATGGTGGGGTCCCAAGATGGGGCTTTTGGGAAGTGATTGGATTGGGTTAGGTTGCTAGGGTGGAGCCCTGGCATGGAATTGTGATCCATTTGTAAGGAGAGACCACGCAGGTGTACAGGCTCCGTCTCTCTGCTTCCTTCTCGCCGTGGGATCACTCCTCCACCATCCTCCAACCCCACCAGACACCAACGGGATAAGCCGAGGGGATCACCCAGTCTTAGACTGAGAACCTCCAAAACCATAAGCCGCCATCTTCTCGGGGATGTGTGAGAGCGGTGGGAAGCTGACTAGCACACCTCATCCCAGCCACTCCCTTGGGATCTTGTCTCCACAAGAATCTGCCCCCTGTTAAGGGCGTCAAGATGCAAACGAAACCTTGGTTTAAAATCCGGTCACTCTAGCTGGTCGACATGGGCAGCGCAACAGAAAATTTCATCCCTCACATGGAAGTTGGGGACGACACAAAGGGGAGTGGGGATTATGAGGAAGCTTGAGCTCCCGGAAATGGGGACCAGAACACTGCATTCAGTCTGAAGGTGCCATCAAACATGAGAAGGTCGCCAGCGACACCAGCTTCCCTCTTGCGACTGGGACTTCCGCCTGTCACGGCCTGAGCCGTGTCCCCTTCTCCCCTGGGCATCCATGGCTAACCCAGCAGGAGGACGCAACTTTGGCCGCACCCCATGCACCCCGTGTGTCCTTGCTAAGTGGGGCCCTAGCAACTCTCAGGCCAGGGGAGCCTTTGTGCAAAGAACAGTTGTTTGTCCTGGAACGGCCATCGGCCAGCTGGGCCATCGGCCAGCTCACTTTCCCTAACCTTTGTACGAGTGTCTTAAGGCACTATGGCAAGTCAGGAAAACACAATGGAGGCTTGCTCAACTAAGGGCCCACGGGACAGAAGCTACAGGGTCGAAAGCAATCTCCTCCCCGAGCCGTCCCCACTGAGGCCATCTTCTGCTTCTAGACTTGCTCCTGTGTCACAGAAACTCACACACAGAAGAGGGGACTTCGAAAAGTCCATGAGAAACTCGCGTTATGTGTTAGTGCCATTTTTCACCCACTTTGAGGCCCCTCACGTCTGTAATTCAGGTTTTTGTTCTATTTTTGTTTTCTTGGCAATGATGCTTTTTTTAATAAGACCACCCTGTCACTTGCTGCTTTTTTCTCTATTTATAGTGAGTCGTTCCCAAGTCAGTACATCTCTGTAAGGGCCACCTATTATTTCATTTTGCGGAGGTCTCATAATTTTTTCATCTATTTTCCCATTAATGATGCCTGGCTCTTCATAATATTTTACCATTAAAAATAATATTGCAGGGGCTGGCACTATGGTGCAATGGTTAAAGCCACCATCTGCGGTGGCGGCATCCCGTGTGGATGCCAGTTCGAGTCCCAGCTGCTCCACTTCTGATCCATCTCCCTGCTAATGCACCTGGGAAAGACGTAGAAGATGGCCCACATCCTTGGGCCCCTGCACCTGTGTGGGAGACCTGGAAGAAGCTCCAGGCTCCTGGCTTCGGATCTGCCCAGCTCTGGGCAGCCATCTGGGGAGTGAACCAGTGGATGGAAGACCTCTCTCTCTCTCTCTCTCTCTCTGCCTCTCTGTAACTCTGACTTTCAAATAAATAAATCTTAAAAAAAAAAAAAAAAAAAGGAAAGGAAAGGAAAGAAAGTGCCAGACCAGCCCCACCTGGGGCACTCGGCTGTCCCCCGCAAGCCTGCGCAGAGTGCGTGGCTGGTCTCTGTCTCCCGCTGTGTCTGCCTCTGTGGACCTGGCAAAGCACAATGACCCCTTTGTACTACTTGGAACCAGTGGTTTCCTTTAAGAAAGGTGCATGTCCGGAAAATGCTACGTCAAGGCTTCCTGATTCCAGAATCAAGCCTGTTCCGGAGAGAAGCACCACCCTGGTTTCAAGGCCAGGAAATGCGGAGGAAGAGCAGGGTGGCGGGAAGGGGCGCCTCTTCTCCCTGCCCCCTCCTGGAGTACGATCCAGCATCTTGACACTGCTTCATGTCCTCTGTGCAACCAGGGAAACTGAGGCCCAGCCAGTTAGTGGAGAGTGGAGAGATGACTAGCCCTCTCCACTGTGGGGGCTGTGAGGGGGCAGAGCAAGCTCCCCCAGTCCTTTGCCCTGGGGTGGAGCTGCGGGGGAGCCCCGGGAGGCCAAGGGCAGGAAGGATCCAACGGGAGGTGAGGCACCTTTTTCTCTGCAGGTGCAAAGCCTTCGGGAGGCCTGCGGGGGCTGGCTCAGGGCTGAGGTCTGTCCACCCAGACTCTACCCTCTACACACGGTGGTGCCCAAGAAAGTCAAAAATGCTGGTGGGGGCAGGGTCAGCAAGGACTGTGCTCAGCTGAACCTGGGGCTTCCTTCCTCCTGACGCCGTGAAATGGCTAAGAGTGGCAAGAGCACCTCAGCCAACACACACACACATATATATACACCACAACACACCCTGCACACTCACACTGACACTCACATGCCACAACATAGACGCTCACACACAGTCATACCACACACACCCTGCGCACTCACACTCCACACCTGTCACACACACCACTCACACTGACACTCCAACACACACACCACACCTGTCACATACACCACTCACACGCTCACACTAACACACACACCACACACGTCACATACACCACTCACACGCTCATTAACACACACACCACACACGTCACACACACCACTCATACACACTCCACACATGTCACACACACCACCCCCATGCTTGGACTCATTCACACACACACACACACACACACACACACGGATTATCGGCCTGGAGCTCTGATTGGCCTAGCTGTCCTGTGTTGTCATTCGCCGACTCTGGCATCCCCGCTCCCTGGCCTGCAGTGTTCTAACCCCGCTTGCTCCCGCCTTCCTGTCCCTTCTGCAGCTGCTCCCCTGGGCCCCGCCCTTGGCCACCTTCGCTGTGCCCGGCTTCCCCAGACCCCACGAGGGGCTGCCTTGGGCACCTCCTCCCCCACGTCTGCCATGAGGCCACCTCTCCCAGCTCTTGGGTGTGCCTGTGGGGACCCACGTGGCAGGCCACGGGGGCTGCCCTGGTCGTCGTCCACCACCCAGAGACCTGCAGGCCACAGGTGGCAGGAAGCGCTTCCCTCGGGGTCTGGCTGTGTTCCTTCTCACGCCAGGCCCAGCTGAGCCGCTTACTCCCTGCCGGCACTGTCCCTGATCCAACACTCTCCCGGGACCGTCTTTGCTGATGTCCCTTCCTTCACTTCTTCAAGCCCGGCTCCTCCTCCAGGGTGTGTTATCTGGAGTTCACTGAGGGCTGGGGCCATGTCAAGGTGACCCCACGCACCCTGCCAGGACCCGGTACACAGGCAGTCTTGGGTTGGTGTTTATTGAATAGAGTGAATGACTGAGTAAGAGAATGAGTGATGGGGCGAATGAATAAATGCACAGGAAGTTCGACTGAGTGAGCACGTGCAGGACGGGGCAGGGGGCGGGTGGACAGGTGAGAGGGGAGGTGGCGAGGTGCGTGGGCAGGTAGGCGTGGGGATGGATGAGCAGGTGTCCAAATGCAGAGACCTCAGAGCGAGGCCAGGCCCCTCCACTGTGCGGTTCTCAGAGTCCTGGGATCCAGCCTGCAGACCCGCCCTGGGTTAACCCAGGGAGGGACGCGACCATGCAGTACAGGGCTAGGCACTCTGGGCTGGGCCCTGAGACTCCTTCCGTGTGAAGGGCGCCTGACCTGGAGCACAGCTCTTACTGCTGCTGCAGGGGCAGAGGGGGCCAAGGTCCCACACAGCTGTCTCTCCCCACCTGGAGCTCCTGGGCCCCAATATCTCTTTGTGTCTGAAGATGGCCACCTGCCTCTGACCACTCAGGGTGCCCCTGAGAACATGACGCTACTGAATTCCTATGGCGGTGGGCGCCCCAGGCCCCCACCCAGGAAGGACTTCAGGGCCTGCCTGGGCTGCAGCAGTCAAAGCCAGGGGGACTGGTGGGGAAGGCACGCAGAGAGAAAGGCAGGGAGACCAAGGGCCTGCCTGACGCTTGGGCTTCTTCCTCCAGCCCCTCCCGTGCGGATCCCTGGGACACACGCTGCACCCATCCGGGTCTCAGCCTGCCAGAGTCCCCTTCCGCCAGTCTCCGGCCTCCCTGGAGCCGGTTCCCTCCCACACACACATGCACAAGGCTCTGGTGTCAGGTGCGACCAGAACATGTTCTCAGGAGCCCCTGAAACTGAGCCCTCCCCTCCCATGCAAACCCATCCCTCTTTCTCCATCAGCCAGACTCTGTCTCTGCCCCCTCCTCCCCTATGGCAGCCACACAGCAAGGCACCCCTAGAGACCAGAGCCCTCCTCGGGCTCAGACCCGCCCCCCCAAAAGGAAGTCCCCAGAGAGCTGCAGGGCAGGGCTGGATGCACAGATGAGCCAGGAGCCTCTTAATTTTGCACCTCACACCCAAACTCTTTCAATACCTGCCATGGCGTTTTTTTCCATGGGCTGAGAGAGAACCGATTTCCTATGAAGAAGACCCGAATATCCCTTTATTTGTGATGAAGACGAGAGCAGTGTTACATGCTTTGAGTGTAACATAGCATTTCAGCTTTTTTTGGAATTATCTTTCTGTCCGTGATTTTTCTATCATTCCTAAGTGATGAAAATCACTCACATTCCACTTTCACTAAGGAAAGAAGTGAGCTACTAGAAAACAGCAATACAGCCTCGTTGGGAAATACATTTGAAAGTCCGCTTTCTGGCCTTCCTCTTAATAAAACATCTTGTACTTTCTGTGCCTCTTCTGTCTCCTTTTTCCTTTTGTGGTTTTCAAGACGAGATTTGGAAAGACCCATAAAAGGTTATACTTTCTCCATTGTCGAAGAGATCACTTGTGCGCAGAAAACAGCTCTTCGGCTTCAAAATTTTGGGGCTGTTTCAGACAACTGGCAGAGGACAGGCCTTTGGGGAAAGCTCTGTGCGAAAATACTCAATTAGGGGAGCCGGCAAGAAGTGGTTTCTAAAAGCGTCCACTTGGGGGCGCTGCATCTGCTGGGGCAATAAGAATTCTCGCACCGGCAGTGAGAGTTCCACGCGGTACTCCACAGAGCTGGCCTGCCACACGGTCCCACGCAACGGCTGTTCCCCTCCTCCCCTTCAGGAGGCAGGCCCCGCTGAGCTGTCGGGGTCGCAGCTGACTTCCATCAGGTCCCAGCACTGCCTTCCCTGTGGCTGCAGGGGCAGAGGCGGGATGGGCAGCATACAGGAGGGACGCACGGGGGCTGCAGGACGCGGAGGTGTGGGCTTGCGAGCAGGGCGGCTGAGCGCAGCCCCCTAGCAGAGCGGCTGCAGGATGTCACATGAAGGACCAGAAGTCCCGAGCACTCGGCCCTGGCTGGGTTTGGCGATTGGGCCCCGTGAAGAGGGACGCCTCCCGGCGAAATGTGGCCACCGTGAAGCTGTGGCCAGGGCCCTCCTCAGGATCCGGGTTCCTCGAGTCACAGCTGAAGCAGCACAGGATGCAGGTGACGGCCACAGTGACCAGGAGCAGCACTGCCACCACCCCAATCACTGCCGTTTCCATGGCCACCGACCCACTGAGCAAGCATGGGGCATGTGGGAGCCTCAGCCCCCCATCGAAGCGGGGGTGGGGGAGCCTGGGCCCAGCGAAGCCGCGCGGAGGCCCCCGGCCCTGCCTGCCCTAGGCTGCCAGGCACCCACACATGGCCCTACTGCTGGGATCACAGTCCATCTCTTCTCTCTTCTAACCCTCGGCCAGGCTGGCATGAGCTGTGGTCAGTTCTACCGGCAGCTTCTAGAAGCGCAGTCCTGGAAGATGCGAGCAGAGACTCCCTGGACATGGAGGGCCGGAGATGCTGCTCAGGGCGAGCCTGGACAGCCTGGACAGCCCAAGGCCAACGGTGGTGCCTGCAAATTCCAAGAACAATGGGACAGTCAGGCCAAAGACAAAACACTCCCCCTCCTGGGAGCCTCTTGGGAGACTGGCAGCTCCCTTGCAGGGACCTTGGGTCAGTCCTTGGATCTGCGACCTCTCAGTTGCTGGGCGTGCTGGGCACAGGGTCACAGGTGGGTAGGAAGGTGGCTGGCAGCTCTGGGCCAGGTAGGGATTTGGGGGGAGCACTCACAGGTCACCCAGGTGGGAGGGGCTTCCTTTCTGTGCAGGGTTGGGGGAGGCGCATGCAGTGTGACCCCTTTGCCCCGGGTTCCCTCGGAGAAGCCCTGTTTGCTCATGCCCACTGCTCACATGCGGTGCTATGGAGACTCACCCTGGGCTCCGCGAGGGCCAGCTGTGGCTGCACCTGGGGCTGCGGCCTCCGGGCCATGCCGCTCCTCCCTGGGTGCTGCCGCTGTGGTCCTGCCTGAGACTTGGCTCTGAGATGTCCGAGCAGCTGCGAGCGCTTCCTGAAGGCCTTCCTCCAATTGTGAGTGAGGGCCGGGGCCTCCCAGCTGCCTGGGGGACAGGCCTCACCCCGCCCCTTCTGCACACCCCAAGCTGCCCCTGCCCTGCCCCCTGCTGGGGAGGTCCGGGGAAATGAGCCAGGCTCAGGCCACTGAATCAAGTCTGCAGAGAGGTCTCCCTGCCGGCCCTCACCGATCAGAGCCCTCCCACTCCGCATCTCTGAAGACTGCTCCCCCCACCCCACCCCCAGAGGAGAGTCAGTAGCGCCCCTCTTCTGAGAAACGGAACCACGAGGAACAGGAACTAAAGGGGCGGAACACAGCAGCCCTGCGTGGCGAGACACAGATGCCGACGGGCTGCTTAGAGCCCGCCACTCGTCAGTGGGGGCCGAGGAGGGACCTCCCTGCGGCCACCCCTGGGTCAGTGCTCTTTGGAGGCACCACGCAACCACAGAGCAATCGGCTGCAGGCTTACTCATCAGAGAGGGCAAAGGGCTGGCCAAGGTCACACAGCCTGGCCCTTTGCAATTGCCCCAAGGCCCGAGGGAACTATTAGGCCACACATAGCCTGCAGATTCTCTCTCCCTTTGCTGAGATGAATGGACAGGCCGGGCACTGGGCTCCTCCACAGGCAGGGAGCGCACTGCGGCCCCGGGAAGGAGCCAGGTTCTCTGCCGACCTGCAGCGCCGTGGCCTCCAGCTGAATTCCCAACACCAACTAACAGATGCGGCTGATATGGGGTGCCAGGGCGGGGACCCTGCTTGAAGCTTGATTGTTGGTTCTGTGACTTCTCATGCGCCTGTTGTTTGTGTGGGTTCCCTGCGGCAGGTGTGGGGGTGCAGCCCACGCCGAGCCCCGCTGTCTCTGGCCTTTCCCGAGGTCCCTTCCTCGGCCCGTCTGTAAGTCCGAGTGGAGATGCTCCCGAAGGGGCAGAGCCGAAGGTGGACAGACTGGCAGGAGTCCAGGGTGGAGAGTGAGGCCCCGGCCAGGGCAGAATGGGGGCGGGCGGGGGATGGAGAAGGAGAGGTGGTCTCGAAGGACTACAGAGAGAGAGCCGGCCGCACTACAGAAACCTAACATGTCCTGCACAGTGAATTTGCCTCCCCTCCCCCCAACACCTCCCTCCGCTGCCCTCACAGAAAACCCACTGGGAAATAAAAGGGAAAGAGGACATTCTGTTCTCGTGAGTCACCCGGCCCTGTTCTCCACCCCTCCCCACCGCCTGGCCTGGCCCCCCGGGCTCACCTCCCTCCGCTTTCCTCCCCAGCTCACAGGAGCAGGCTGAAGGCCTCAGCGCGAGCTTCCTACCTCACAGAGCACACTGGCCGGCGTGGGCAGGAGTGAGCCTCTGATACCCGCCCCACGTTAGGTGAGAAGAAACGGAAGCCCAGAGGAGGCCAACACTCTCCTAGGGCCGCCCAGCACCCCAGCAGCACCTGCAGGCCCCAGTTACCAAGAAACACCGACTTCACACCACCGGCTGGGGCTCCCTGGGGTCCCAGGGCTCCAAGGGTCTGGACACTGGCTGGAGGGCGCCCAGGGAGCTAACGCAGGCGGCCTCCGCTCCCCTCTCTCCTGCCCCGTCCACCGGTGGCCCCACAGCCAGAGCCCACACTGCAGCCCCAGGGCCAGCTCCAGGCACTCACACCCTGTGGAGAAAGCATCCCCAGGGCAATGGGGGGCGGCGCTGAGGGCAAACCCCCGCCGCCGCCCCCCCCCCCCGCTGCAATCAAGGGCCTCTCCAAAGCTGCTCAGGGGCTTTTACTTCCTCGTGCTGAAAGCACCACCCACTGGGCCACACAACCCCCACCTGCATCGTCCTATCTGCACGGGCACGCTCCAGGCCTCCCCCAACCTCCCTCCTCAGGCTGAGCCAGCCAGAGGCTATGTGCTGCCATCTGCCCATGTGCTGGCCCTGCCGGACTCCCTTGCTACTTCTGGGGCCCACTGGGAGTCAGTGGCCAAGTGGGGTTGCCCGGCCACCCCTGTGCTCCTCCCCGCAAGCTGCCAGTGTCCGCAGAGCTGCCTCAGGGCTCCTCCAGGCTCTGCCGCCAGAGGACGCAGGCTCTGTGTGCCCGTGAAGCCCCAGCAGGACCCAGAGATGCACCCGTCCTGGTGCCCGAGGGCACGGCAGCGTCATCGGCGGCCTCGGTGAGCGCGGTGGTGATGGTGGTGGTGGAGGCCGGCACTGGGCCCATGAGACGCGGGGCCAGCGTGGTGGCGATGGTGAAAGGGTGCCAGGCGACCCCCGCCTCGGCCCCGGCCCCGGCCCCGGCCCCGGAAGAGCCGAGGCTGGACCCACCGGCCCCGGTTTCCCGCCGCGGCTGGGTGGTTCCTCTCCACGTCCCGGTCCTGGCGTCCAGGGAAGAGGCAGGTAGCCAGCAGCAGCAGCAGCAGCAGCACAGCCACGGCAACACCAGCGACCCAGCCCAGCAGGGTTGTGCTCCCCAGGGGGCCTGGCATCTGGGGGCTGTGCGGCCTCCCCTGCTTGGTGGCTCCCTGCTCCCCTTCAGTGGCCTCTTCTGAGCCTCAGCCACTGGACTGTGTTGTCCCAGCTCCTGTGGGCTGGCCAGCAGCCAGGGAATGTGGGCGAGGACTGTTTGGACGGGAGCTCCTGGCCCGGGGCCACGCCATGGGCGGTCAACTTTGGGGGAGGCCTGGTAGGAGCCTGGGCAGGGACAGAGGAGGAAAGATAAGAGATCAAGGTCTGGGGCCAGCTCTGGGGCCTAGCTGGTAAAGCTGCCTGGGACGCCGGCATCGCGTGTGGGCACCAGTTCATGCCCCAGCTGCTCTACTTCCGATTTAGCTCCCTGCTAATGCGCCAGGGAAAGCAGCAGAAGATGGTCCAAGTCCTTGGGCCCCGGCCACACAAGTGGGAGACCTGGAAGAAGCTCCTGGCTGCTGGCGTCAGCCTGGTCCTGCTGTGGCTATTGTAGCAGGTGGAAGATCTCTTTCTCTCCTTCTGCCTGTAAATCTTTCAAATAAATAAATAAATCTTAAAGAGAGAGAAAGAGATCTCAACCTCTACTACACTTCTGCTAACTAGCTGAGTGACCAGGTGGGGCCCTCTCCCTCTCACTCCCCCTCCCCCCTCCCCTACTGTAGGCTTTGGGGTACTCTTGTAGGGACCAGAGGTCAAGGTCAAGCTATAGAACCAGTCCAGTCACTGGTGCTGCAATCGTGCACAGGTTATTTAGCTTCTCTGCCCCTCAGTCTGCTCATCTGTAAAATGGCTCATAATAGCACCCACCCCTTCGGACTTTCTGAGGATTAGTGGAGAGACAGCATTTACACTGCTTTCCTGCCACGTGTGAGCCAGGATGACCGTGCAGTGGTCTCTGCTGGATTACTTGGGAGTTGCTGTCAGCTGCAAGTCTGGGGTTCCCCAACCTGCCGCCGACTAAGTCCTCGGGGGCTCAGGTGGGTTCTGTTCAATGGGTAACCCCAATCTTGGTGAGCTTCAGGAGCCCATAGCAGACTGTCGGCATCCAGGAAGATCCTCACCCCACGGGGACCGGGGACCAGGGACCGGGGACCGGGAGGCAGCGGTCCCTGGTGGCGGCCCGCGGTTGCTGAGGGTGGGAAGGATGCCACCGGGCGCAGGCTGGCTGAGCCTCAGGCCCAGCCTCCTGCTGCCCTGTCCCACAGCCACAGTTGGCCATAAATGGCAGCCATGAATGGCACTGACGCTGGGGAAATTAGGGCGGGCAGACAGCGACTCTCCTCCTAGTCCCTAAACCCCTGCTGCTCGTCACACACCAGCCCCGGGGACAGCCGCTCGCTCCCTTTCTGCCATGGGCCTCTTGGGTGATTCTCAAAGCTCCCGCTCACACACAGCCCAGGAACGCATCTGGATCTCGGGGGGCCTCCAGGCAGAGTCCCCAGCCCCTCTGCCCCTGCCCCTCGTGGGCGAGCTTGAGGGCTCGTCTCTGGGCTACCTGGACATGTGTTTCCAGAAGCAGCAAGGCTGGCTCCCTGAGCTGGACAGCACCTCCGCCCTGGGATGCAGCCAAACCCCTGCCCCTGCCCCTGCCCCCAGCCTTGGTTCTTCCATGAAAGTCCCAGAGCAAGAGGGGACCTCTGGGGACCCTTCCCTGTCTGCCTCAATCCCTGCCAAGTTCTCTCAGGGAAGCCTCAAACCATTGATGAAAATCCTCACCGGATGTCAAGGCTAATGCTGCCTGCCACGGAGTCGGGCCCAGGGGCCAGCAGGTCTAATGAATCCTGGGGTTTCTCTGGCCCTTGGGAGAAGTTACTGGAACTTTTAATGAAGTAGGAGTAAGAACTCTTCCTGCTGCCTCCTGCGGCCCTAGGAGCCCTGCTGCCTTCCCTGGGGGCAGCTAGGAGGGAACTCTGCTGGGGGTAGTAGGCGTGCCAGTGGGGGGGCGGTCAGAGTCACACAGGGAATCTCCTTCAGAGCTTTTCCCGCCCCAACAGCCCCTGGATTGCAACTCGCAGAACTTCAGCCCTCGCCTAGAGATGGGGAAACCAAGGCCACACAAGGGAAGAGACTTGTCTGAGCCCCCTGAGCTTTGTGGGCTGTTGTCTACAGCAGGAAATCAACAGGAACATGCCCGGGTCTGCTGTCAGCTGGGACTTTGCACAGAAACAAAGGAGGATGGAGGGCAGGTGTGGAGGGGCCTGAGGCTTGTTCCCTCCCAGCTGGACAGAGATGGGACTCCAAGGTGACGTTTTATCAGCAGCTCCCGGTACTCAGTACTGGAGTTGAGGGAGAGAGGCACTGAGACTCCAGCCCTCCAGGGCTTCCGGAGTGACTGGAATCAGGGCTTGCAGGACTGACAATGTTAGAGGAACTGTGGCCGTGGCTTTATCATTGTATTTATCCCCCAGGGCTGGGTCTTCTGCACCTTCCCAACTGAAGGCCGGGAGCTCCAACCACAGGGCTATTGCAGGAGCCTCGGAAGCACCTATCATTTAGCTTCCAGGGTGCACAGATCCACGCATGCAAGTGTGTGCCCCGGAAACCAGCACTGCCCTGTGGGCAGCCTCATGTACCAGTACTCATGCATGCACACACTCACCCCACGGCACTCACAGCGGTTCTGGATGAGCTCACAAACCCAGACCGGACCCCAGTGGGCGGTTTCAGTTGTCCAGCAGCAACCACATTGTTTTCACTAATTGGTGGCACCACCTAGTGGTAACACTGTAAATAAATCAGTTTTGTGTTCTGACCTGTCAAAAGGGACAGTGTCCTGACTTTTGTTTATAAGTTATCATCTGAATCCCTGCATAGAACTCTTCTCCATCCCAAATCCCCATTGAAATGGCTACAGAGGGGCCAGCACTGTGGCATAGCAGGTAAAGCCGCAGCCTGCCATGCCAGCATCCCATATGGGTGCTGGTTTGTATCCCAGCTGCTCCTCTTCCCATCCAGCTCTCTGCTATGGCCTGGGAAAGCAGTAGAAGACGGCCCAAGTGCTTGGGCCTCTGCACCTGCATGGGAGACCCAGAAGAAGCTTCTGGCTCCTGGCTTTGGATCGGCACAGCTCTGGCCGTTGCAGCCAACTGGGGAGAGAACCAGCAGATGGAAGACTCTCTCTCTCTCTCTCTCTCTCTCTCTCTCTCTCTCTCTCTCCGCCTCTCCTTCTCTCTCTGTGTGACTCTGACTTTCAAATAAATAAATAAATCTTTTTAAATAAAGAAAAAGAAATGGCTGCAGAATGAAAAGTCGGGAAATACTACTTGGAAATCAGTAGAGTTGCATTACCAGCCCAGACACTTCAAGAAATTTCTGCTAGCTGGCATGCGGATGGAAGCAGGCTGATGGATGTGCTGACGGAGGGTGGGCATTCTCCGGAGGCAGTGGTGGCTGCGCCTCAGAAGAGCCTCCCTAAATCTCTGCATCGGACAACCAGGGCTAGGAACAAGGCAGACCAGGGCTAGGAACAAGGCAGACCAGGGCTAGGAACAAGGCAGACCAGGGCTAGGAACAAGGCAGACCAGGGCTAGGAACAAGGCGGGAGGTGGGGCAGCAGGAACCAGTGAGTGATCTTGGGCACTGCAAGTTTCTGCTCCCCACGGAGAGGGCCAGGGCTCAGCCCATCTTCTGGTTTGTACAGACGGCAGGACGGGGCCAGCAGGATCCTAACCCTGCCGCTGGCGCTGCCTAAAGAAGGGGGAGCCCCATGCTGCCTCTGCACATGCTGGAAAGAAGCTGCCCGCACAGCAGTCCCCTCCCCTCCCCCCTCCCCTCCACTCCCCCCTCCCCTCCCCCCTCCCCTCCCTTCCCCGCCTTGCCTCGCCTCTCCCCTCCTCTCCTCTCCTCTCCTCTCCTCTCCTCTCCTCTCCTCTCCTCTCCCCTCCCCTCCCCTCCCCTCCCCTCCCCTCCCCTCCCCTCCCCTCCTTGCCTCGCCTCTTCCCTCCTCTCCTCTCCTCTCCTCTCCTCAGGAGCAGCTCTGCCCTCATCCTCCCAAAGCAGAAAACCAGTTTCTTTCTTCGTTGCTTGTAACAGGCTTGAAGATTATCTGTGTAATCTTTCCTAGAACCGTGGCAATTCCCCAGTCACAAACATGAGCAATCGAGGGAAGCAATTAGACAAGCGGAAAAAGATGGTAGCTTTGTACCCTGGTCTCGGGGGCTACCACAGAAACAGAGGAACTCCTTTATTTATATCCCAATAGGGTTCCAAAGGCAAATTTATATTCAAATATGGAAAAATATACAAGCCCAGGATGTTTATTTTCATATTAAAGACTGCTTTGAGACACCCCCCACCCCCCCACCCCTGTCTCAGAAAAAGATGGATCCAAAGGAAAGTTCCAGAATGCAAATATACTTCAATAACAGACTTTTCAGAAGTAGGTAACGTGGCCGGCGGCGCCGCGGCTCACTAGGCTAATCCTCTGCCTGTGGCGCCAGCACACCGGGTTCTAGTCCTGGTCAGGGCGCCGGATTCTGTCCCAGTTGCCCCTCTTCCAGGCCAGCTCTCTGCTGTGGCCAGGGAGTGCAGTGGAGGATGGCCCAAGTGCTTGGGCCCTGCACCCCATGGGAGACCAGGAGAAGCACCTGGCTCCTGCCTACGGATCCTGGCTTCGGATCAGCGCGGTGCGCTGGCTGCAGCGGCCATTGGAGGGTGAACCAACAGCAAAAGGAAGACATTTCTCTCTGTCTTTCTCTCTCTCACTGTCCACTCTGCCTGTCAAAAAAATAAAAATAAAAAAGTAGGTAACGAGCCCGTAAAAAGACAGTCATTAAATAAATAAAGAAAATTTCCTTGGGGGCCGGTGCTGAGGCATAGCGAGTAAAGCCACTGCCTGAAGTGCCAGCATCTCATATATGGGAAACGATTCGAGTCCAGGCTGCTCCACTTCCAATCCAGCAGTAGAAGATGGCCCAAGTCCTTGGGCCACTGCACCCACGTGGGAGACCCAGAAGAAGATCCTGGCTCCTGGCTTCAGATTGGCTCAGCTCCAGCCATTGCGGCCATTTAGGGAGTGAATGAAGCAGCAGATGGAAGACTTTCTCTCTCTCGCTCTCCCGCTCTCTCTCTCTCTCTCTCTCTATATATATATATATCATTCTTTGAAATAAGTAAATAAATCTAAGAAAAAAGACCCAGCCATCAAATCACAAAGAGATAAGTAAATAAATCTAAGAAAAAAGACCCAGCCATCAAATCACAAAGAGATCTGAGGAGGATCCTTAGCCACAAATCACCAAGTGAAAGAAGCCAGTGTGAAAAGGCCCTGTGCTGTGTGACGCCAACTCTGCGTCATTCCAGAAAAGGCAAAAGGATCTGTGGCTGCAGGCACCGCGGCTCACTAGGCTAATCCTCCACCTGTGGCGCCGGCACCCCGGGTTCCAGTCCCAGTTGGGACGCCGGATTCTGTCCCGGTTGCCCCTCTTCCAGTCCAGCTCTCTGCTGTGGCCCAGGAGTACAGTGGAGGATGGCCCAAGTGCCGCATGGGAGACCAGGAGGAAGCACCTGGCTCCTGGCTTCGGATTGGTGCAGCACCGGCCATGGGGGCCATTTGGGGACCATTTGGGGAAGGAAGCCCTTTCTCTCTGTCTCTCTCTTTCATTGTAACTCTACCTGTCAAATAAATTTTTAAAAAAATTTTACATAAGGACACAAATACGCGGAACAAGAGGACTTTTTTGGAGCAATGAAAGTCTTCCATGGGCCACTGCAGTGGAGGCAGTGGACGGCCCGTGCCATTGCCAAACCCAGAGAAAGCGCATCAGCACGGATGCAGCCTAAGTGGAGTCTTGGCTTGTGTGGACAGGATGGATGTGTCCGGGCAGGCTCACTGCATCCCCGGGGGGGATGCTGCTGTCGGGGAGGGGGCTGGGCTGCGTGCACACAGGGCGGGGAGTACACGGGAAGTCTGCAGCTTCCACTCCATTTTGCCATGAACCTAGAACTGCTCTAGAAAATAAATTCTACCCAGAAAAAGAAGGCAAAGGAAAGAATCCTACAAACCAAAATAGGAGCTGTTTAAATTGTCTCAAAGAATAGAAAAAGAGACCTTCCTTTACTTTTTTAAAAAATTTTATTTGAGAAGGAGGGAGGGAGGGAGGGAGCGAGCACGCTTGCGTTCTCTGGGAGCTGCCATCTTCTTCAAAGGTCCGCAGTGGCCATGCAGGACGCAGGCGTCTGAATCAGCAGCTTAGCTGCTAAGCCACACACCTGCCCCTTCTTAAATTTATAGAATTTATTTTATAAACTGACATAACCCAGATGCCAAAGCTGACACCCGTAGCACAGAAACACTACAGACTATCTCAAGATTTTAACAAATAATACATCTGGTCCCAGCAGAATATTTGAGGGACCTACTCCTTAAACAAGTAAGGTTTCCCCTAGGAATGTGAGGGTGGTTTTATGGTTTTTTTTTCAATCTATTGTTGTAGTAAATTACATAGCTAGATGAAAAGAGTAAAACCTTATCATCATCTCAATCGATGGCAAAAAGATTTGATAAAATTAATTATATCATAAATGAATTTTTAAAAAGTGTGCTGTCAGAAGAATACTCCTTTAATACGATTAAAATATCTCAAACCAGTAGCTAACATCATGATTAGTGATGGAAAAAAGGGTTAGAAATTTAAAAACAAACATATACAAATCAGTGATTTTCCTATGCAACAGAAATCTCATTCAAAACCATAATTAGATCAAGCCATCATTGACACTGACAGCAAAAAATACAAAATTTGTAACAATGAACATATTGAGAGATATGGATGACCAATATGGAAAATAAGGACAATTTGCTGAGAGCTCACGTAGCCAAGCGGGACGAGCCCGCACTGTACGTGCCGGGGACCCCGACCCTAGGGCACCGGCAAGCGGCCTGCCACACGCACCTGCAAAGGACTTGTTGTATGTGAGAGGTGGAATATTTTGAAAAGGATGAAGATTTTTAATTTTAAATTTAATTTTACTTTTTAAATGCTGCCCCTTTCCAAACATGTGATTGTTTTCGTCGGTCTTCCCAGGGCATCTGTCTGGAGAGAGATTTGAATTATTCCAGAAAGAATGCAAAGAGGAGTTAATACGAATGTTTGAAATTCAAGAAAACCAAGACAATCTTGCCCTGGCCTTGGGCGTCTCAGTGCACTGAGCGATTCTCTGGGTGATGAGGTTACAGGCGTTGGTTTTTATTTTGGCATTTCTGCATTTCTGAAACTTGCCACCATAAACCTTTTGCTTGTATAATAATGAAGACAACATAAGATACAGTACCTTCCGGAAAGTGTTCAGAAACCATGCTGGTCCAAATAGATTAGGTCTACAGCGCAGCCCAGGGATCCACCCCCTTCTCCACATAGCAGCGCCCACCCCCCCAGAGCCATCAACCTGGCCCATGTCGTCTTGAAGATGCCCACAAGTGGAAAAGCCTGTGGCTGTGATCTGGTTGCACTTCCTCTCCCAAGAGTTCATGTGTGGTGCTGAAATGTGGAGCCAGCCTCCGTATTTCAAGGTAGCAACAGAAAACTGACTCATGCAAGGTCCCAGGCGGGCTGTGCTCAGGGATCTGAGGGCTCGCTTTCCCTCCTGCAGTACAGGTAGAACGCTAGCTTGAGCCTCAGTTTCCCCTGCTGCACAGAGAGGGAGAGATCGGAGACAGACTGAATCTGCAGTCCCAGTCCATGCCATCTGACTCGCCAGGTCGCTCTAAGCTGGACCCGTCGTCTAAAGACAATTGTAACACTCAGAATCACACTCACTGAGCTCACATCTGCGGAGCCAGGCCCTGTGTTTGCTGCTGAGGCTGCGAAGGGAAAGTCTCCCAGGAGCTTCTTACCTAAGATGGGAGACAGAGAATACAGCTTATTACAATACATTGTGCAAAGTCTGGGGCAAGTGTCCACAAGGAAGGTGCAAAGGACAGGGCACTCGTGAGCGGTACATTCCTCTCCTATCATCCCCAACCGTGTTCCTAACTGCTGCAATAAGTGCCTTCCACAGGTGCATCTCAGTTAACCCCACAACAAGCCCACTGCCTTCACATGGCAGATGAGGCTCGGGGAGTGAACGCACTGCCGTGACCACGGCCGTGGCCACGAGGAGGTCCACAGCTGAGCCAGAACCAAGCACAGCCTTCCTGACCCCTAAAGCCCACCTCCCAGCCAGCACAGTCCTGGGTTAGGCTCAGAGACGTCACTAGCAAGGCGTGCCGCCCAAAGCCGCAGCTCTCAGAGCCACGGGCAGGAGAACGGGTCAGGGCTGTGAGAGTCTGATGCAGAGGAAGAAGCGAGAAGCTTTGAAAAACCTCATGATCAGGCCGCTGCAGGGCTGCCTTCAAGGAGGAAACGGTTGCCTGAGTGAGTTTCCAACAGATCCTCCACACACCAAAGGGAAAGTCTGCTGCAAAGTAGCCCTGATGGAAAACCAAGACGGACAGAGGGCCGGCTAGGCAGACTGACAGCTGACAGAGGATAGGGCAAGTGGAAAGCGCACACGGCCCTCCACCGTGCAACACGTTCGGCTTTTCCTACATTTGAAACTTTTCTCACATACACAGACTATTAGGAGAAAGCAGTAAGCAATTGTTGGGAGGGGAAGTGGATGAGGAGAGTTCTCTGGTGCTGTCCAGTACGGTAGACAGAGCCACATGGCCACTGAGCCCTTGACATGTGGCTAGTCTAGGGGTCGGGGCTGTGGTATAGTAGGCTAATTCTCTGCCAGCAGTGCTGGCATCCCATGTGGGTGCTGGTTCATGTCTAAGCTGCTCCACTTCCAATCCAGCTACCTGCTGATGGCCTGGGAAAGCAGTAGAAGATGGGAGACCCCACGTGGGAGACCCGGAAGAAGCTCCTGGCTCCTGGCTTCAGATCAGCCCAGCTCCAGACACTGTGATCATTTGGGGAGAGAACCAACGGATGGAAGACCTCTCTTTCTATCTGTGACTCTGCCTCTCAAATAAATGAATGAATCTTAAAGAGAGAGAGAGAGAGAGAACATTTTGGGATATGTGGCATTGTCAGAATAAAGGGGTCAGCGCTCAGTGTGCGGCAGCCTGGGGTGACAAATCTCCTGCAATGAGTGTGACAGCCTGGCCGGAAGAAGTCTTATCCTGTCCCAAACCCCAGGAGTGTGTCTGTTGCAAACCCTAGAAGTAGAAGAAAGGGAGCACACCTGTTCCTGTCCTCTGACTGAGGACTGAGGTCTGTTCCCCAGCCCACACTGGGGCAACACCAGTATTCCTACTGTGTCCACGTCCACGCCTCCTTAAGGATAGGAAAAACACCCAGGACACCCACGAGCTTGGCTCCCCGCAGGACACCTGTCTGATGATAAAGACTGCCAACAGTAGGGTACAATTAGCCCTGACTAATTGGCCATCCGGGAGGCCATCCCCAGAGCTCTGCGTGCCATCCTCCGGCATCCGGCCCCGCCCGGCCGCAGCCATGGGACATTGCTGGCGGTGGTGCTCAGTGACAATGAGTCAACCCTCTGCTGTTATCTCAGAGGCTGGATCCACAGGAGAATGGGAGCCGAATGAGAGTCCCACGGAACTCGGGTTGAAGGCCTTGGAGCTCCCCAAACTCAGGAGATCCCAGAAAGCCTTGCTAGAGGAACGGGTAAGGGAGTGGGGACTGCCGGCCCGAAATCCTTTCCCAGAAGCAGGTGCAGAGGTCCAGGCAAGAGATGACGAGAACCCGTGTCACAGCAGTGGCTGGGAGAGGAGCAGGTGCAGTGGGTTTAAAGTATGTTGGAGGGGGTGGAGCTGGAGGATGTTCTGAGTCATCTGATGAGAAGGGGGATCCACACCTCACTCCTGTGGATCTGGGTGGAGAACCAAGTGGCAGAACAGGCAGGAAGGGCTTTATAGGAAACTCGTCAGTTCAGGGGAGGAGGGAGATGAGGTAGCTTTGGAGGACTGATGTCAAAGAGGACTTTATTGTAAAGATTCAAGAAGATTGAGCTTCACATTCTCAGGGGAGAGGTAGGAATCAGGGCTGGGGACCGAGGTGAGTGGCTGTTTCTGGATTGTCTTCTGTCAGGGCCTGCAGTTGTGGACCTTCTGGTCCCCGGGGCCTGCAAGTGACCAGCCTTGGCTCTCATGCCACTCTCTTCATGCCCACACGTTTTTAAGAAAACGAAGCTATATGCTGCTTTCTAGACGATTCTAAAATACAAGGTTATAGAACAGTAGAAAGCCAAAGGCTATAAAAGATGTTCAAGGCAAATTCTAACCAAAAGAAATCTGGCACAATTCTATCAGTAATGGACCTAGTGAATTTTAAGGCAAAAAGCCTTGCTATAGATGGTGTCTATATATAAACAGAAAAGATAATTCTCACCAGGAAGACACACCAGTTCTAGTCTTGTATGAACCTCATAACATAGTCTCAAAATACATAAAGCCAAACTTCTAAGAACTATGAGATGGGCATTTAATCCAGCAGTTCACATGCCCCATTCTGTCTCAGGGTGCCTGGGTTCAGTATTAACACCCGGTCCCATTCCAGCTTCCTGCTAATGGGACCCCTGGGAAGCAGGAGCAAGTAATCAAATAGCTGGGCTCCCATGTAGGACAGCCCATGTAGGACACCTGGATTGTGTTTCTGCTCTCAGCTGTAGCCCCAGCCAGAATCCATTGCAGGTATTTGGGTAGTAAGCAAGAATCAATCAATCAATCAATCAATCTCTCATAAATAAAGAACTGACAGATTTGCATAGAAGGAAAAGATTCTAGCATATATCTTCAAGCAACAGAGATTTAAAAAATCAATAAGAATTTTGTTCTCCAAATCAATAGGTCTCATTGCATCATTGAAATGTCACAGTTTGGATTTATAATCTGGGTTCTGGTTTTGTAGCCAGATAACTCTTAGATCTTATTCTTCAGCCTGAGGAACTGTTCTTTTTTCAAAGACATAGATACAATCCCCAAATTTCCTGATAGCCTCATTTTGTTCATCCGCTGGTTCACTCATCAAATAGCCTCAATAGCCAGTGCTGAGCCAGACTGAAGCCGGGAGACACCAATGGGGTCTCCCACATCAATGGCAGGGGCACAAGTACTTGGGCCATCATCCACTGCTTTTGCAGGTAAATTAGCAGGGAGCTGGATTGGAAGAGGAACAACTGGGATTCTAACCGGCTCTCTACTATGAGATGCTGGTATTGCAAGCAGCAGCTCAACCTGCTGTGCCACATTTAAAAAGGGAAAAGATAATTCACAGAAGGGAAGAAAATATTTGCAAATAACATATCTGATGTGGGATTTACATCTAGAATACATAAAGAACTCTTAGAAACAATCCAATTTTAAAATAGGCTAAGGATCTAAATAAACTTATTTACAAAGAAGATATAAAAATGTCCAATAAGGGGCTGGAATTGTAACTGTAGCTTGCAATGCCAGCATCTCATATCAGAGTGCTGGTTAGAGACCTACCACTCTGCTTCCCCTCCAGCTTCCTGCTAATGTGCCTGGGAAGGCAGCAGTGACAGCCCAGGTACTTGGGTCCTTGCCACCTATGTGAGAGCCCCGGGTGGAGTTCCTGCATCCTGGTTTCAGCCTCGCCCAGCCCTGGCTGTTTTGGCCATTTGGGGAGTGAACCAGAAGATAGAAGATTGGTTGATCGCTCTGTGTCTCTCATTCTCTCTGTTACTCTTGCCTTTCATATAAACAAATATTTTTTCAATGACCAATAAGCACATGAAAAAATGTGTAATGTCACTAATTCTCAAGATATAGGTGAAAACCTCAGTGAAATATCACTTCACACCCCCTAGGATGGCTACAATCAAAAAGGCAAATAATAGTAAGTGTTGAGGATGTGGAGAAATCAGAAACCTCACTCACTGCTCCTGGGAATGAAAAATTACGCAGCGGCTTTGGAAAATGGTCTAGCAGTTTCTCAAGAGCTGAGACATAGGGTTACACGTGACCCAGCAAGTCCACTCCCGCCGAAAACCCAAGAGACACAAAGACTTATGTCCACACAAAGACGTGCATACAAACATTATAGCGGCCGGCGCCGCGGCTCACTAGGCTAATCCTCCGCCTGCGGCACTGGCACACCAGATTCTAGTCCCAGTCGGGGCCCTGGATTCTGTCCCGGTTGCCCCTCTTCCAGGCCAGCTCTCTGCTGTGGCCCCGGAAGGCAGTGGAGGATGGCCCAAGTGCTTGGGCCCTGCACCCGCATGGGAGACCAGGAGAAGCACCTGGCTCCTGGCTTCAGATCAGCACGGTGCGCCGGCTGCAGTGGCCATTGGGGGGTGAACCAACAGAAAAGGAAGACCTTTCTCTCTGTCTCTCTCTCTCACTGTCCACGCTGCCTGTCAAAAAATAAATAAATAAATAAAAATAAAAATAAAAAACGTTATAGCAACATTATTCATAACAGCTAAAAAGTAGAGCCAACCCAAATGTCCATCAGCTGATAAATGGATAACAAAATGTGAATCTCTCCACACCATGGAATATTACTTGGTCATAAAACAGTATGCAGTGCTGATACATGCTACCACATGGGTACACCCCTTGAAAACATTATGCTATGTGAAAAACGTAAGTTACAAAAGATCACACATTCTGTGATTCCATGTAGACCAAATATGCAGAATGACAGTCCTCCAGGGACAAGGAGAGTAGGGGTTGCTTAGGGACTGGAGGATGGCAACTCAGGGGATGGCTGAAGGACACCAGATTCGTTTTTGAGACGATGAAGACGTCTGAAATCCATCATGGTGACAGCTGCACAACTCTGGGAGCACATTAAAAACCACTGAGCCATATATTATAAATGTTTGAATTGTATGGTTTGAGTAGTATATCTCAATAAAACTATACCCTGGCCGGCGCCGCAGTTCACTTGGCTAATCCTCCGCCTGCGGCACCGGCACCCCGGGTTCTAGTCCCGGTTGCTTCTCTTCCAGTCCAGCTCTCTGCTGTGGCCCAGGAAGGCAGTGGAGGATCGCCCAAGTGCTTGGGCCCTGCACCCACATGGGAGACCAGGAAGAAGCACCTGGCTCCTGGCTTTGGATCGGTGGAGCGCCGGCTGTGGCAGCCATTTGAGGGGTGAACCAACGGAAGGAAGACCTTTCTCTCTGTCTCTCTCTCTCTCACTAACTCTGCCTGTCAAAATAAAAAATAAAAAATAAAAAAATAAAACTATATCCTCCAAAATGAGAAACAAAATATAACAGATAAACTTGAAAATTGAGATGGAGTGGAAAAAGTTCTAAAAATGTGTAATTTGGGGCTGAAGCTGTGGCTTAGTAGGTTAAGTCTCCGCCTGTGGTGCCGGCATCCCATATGGGCGCCAGTTTGAGTCCCAGCTGCTCCACTTCCGATTCAGCTCCCTGCCATGGGCTGGGAAAGCAGTAGAAGATGGCCCAGGTGCTTGGGTCCCTGCACCACATGGGTGACTGGGAGGAAGCTTCTGGTTCCTGGCTTCAGATCAGCCCAGCTCTGGCTGCTGCAGCCATCTGGGGAGTGAACCAGAGGATGGAAGACCTCTCTCTCTTTGTCTCTCCCTCTCCCTATCTGTAACTTTACCTCTCAAATAAATAAATAAATAAATCTTTTAAAAATGTGCACTTTGTCTACACTGATTTGAAATACTATAAAAAAGCATAACCTTTTAAAAATATTGTCAGTCATTAAAAATCTTCTCATAAAGTAACTCTAGACGCAAATAATTCCAACTTGCACAAACTATTCCCGTTCAGTAAAATATCATAAGCTAGCACAACCTCGAAACTAGAAACGGACAAGCCTTATATCAAAGGAAAATTATGAGACAACATCACCGGTGTACAGAGACAGAAAAATCCTAAAAATGGATTTGCAAATTAAATCCAGAAGCATATGGAAATGAAAACTTCATAAATCTTGACAAAACTGGGTTTATTCCAGTAATACAAGGGTGAGTCACTGCTAGCAAGCCAACCAATCTAATTCACTGTATTAATGGAATAAAGTAAAAAATCATTATAGTCTCAAAAGATCCATAGAACCCTTTGACATTCATTCATGACTTTAAAACTCAGAAGGAAAAAACCCAAATGAAGAACAGTAACACATTAAGTCTCCATATGAGTGAAAAATGCAGGAGGGGTGTGTGTGTGTGTGTGTGTGTGTGAGAGAGAGAGAGAGAGAGAGAGAGAGAGAGAGAGAGAGCATGCACACAGGAGTCTGCAGAGAATATCTCCGACGACTGTTCTGCTTAGGGAGTCCAGGCAGGGAAAGTAGGCTAAGAAGTGGATGAGATGGAGGGAGAGTCTGTTCGTACATCTTTTTCTGACATTTTTTGATATCATACCACAAAAATAAACTGCCTACTAAAAATAGTTTTAATTTAATAAAAATAAATTTGTAAAAAGTCTTAGCGAATGAGCAACAGAAGAAAATTTTCTTACCTGGATGAAGACGACCCAGCACCGTTCTCACTCCTGACATTTGAAGGCATCCCTTTTAAGGTCAACAGCAAAACAGAGCTAGCTGCCGTCACCTCTTCTTTTTTCAGATTCAGGCTCTGAGATCCTAGCCAGCCCAGATGACAAGATAAAATATATCAAAAGCAACAAGGACTGAAAAACGAGAAACAAAACTATCACTATTAGCAGGTGATATGATTGTCTAGAAGAAATCCAAAATAAACCCTAGATAAATTATTACAATTGGTGACACAGTGTAGCATCATCCTTGCTTTAAAATCCAATGAACAAGAATCACATTGCAGTGTAACAATAACTACTGAAAACATGAAGTCTAAAAACCCTCCTATTTACAATTACATAGTTAGAATTTGCTCTAAAAAGAAGAGATGTGCACAACTTTTATCGAGGAAAAAATTAATTCCAATCAAAATTTCAGAAGCTTTTTTTTTTTTTTAAGAACTTGCAGAGCTGATTCTGAAATGAACATGAATTCATCAGGGCACTCATGGAAAGAGAAGAGCAAAGCAGGTGCCTGCCTTACCCCATCACTCCCCAGCCTGCTGCAAGGTTAGACAGATAGACCGCAACAGAAGACTGAAAACAAAGACCTGCCAGTCCAAGGACCAGGCGTTGCAAATTGTTGGGAGAGGGATGGAATTCTTAACAAACCTGGGGAAATCGATTCTGCAAGTGTAGAAGTGACTGGGAGAATGCTGTTTCTGATGTGGTGACTTCTGAGCTGAACTCTGAACGCAGAGCGAGGCGGTTGGGTGGACATGAGGAGTTTTCCAAGTAGAAGAAACACAGCTCAGGTTTGAGGGAGGAGAAGAAGGGCCACCTTGTTGAAGGAAGAGCGTGAGGAGAGGGAGTGAGCGGCAGGGGGGAGGGGGAGGGGAAGGAGGTGGTCTGGGGTAGAGGACATCGGATGAGACTGGGTGGCATTTTAGGGAGGAAAGCAGGCAAAGCCAGCCCTGTGCCCTGCCGGGGGAGTCAACAGTGAGTAGATGGGTAAGAAAGGGTCGGATAAGTGTGACCTCCAGGACTGTGGCTGACAAGTGCACGCTCCGGGGAGGCTGCCCCCAGAGCCTCACAGATGCGCGTGCGGAAATGTGAGTGTGATGAGACGTCTGTAGCTGATGATGATTCTTGATCTTTTTTGTCTTTTCTTTCTGGCGTCCCTTAGGAATTTTTCTAAAGTTTTCTAGGCGTGAGTGGTCTGGGTGTTTGCTTGCATTCCTTCAGTTGGGTGAGCTCTTTGGGTTTGAAGGGGAACACATTCCTTCAGCTCTGACACACGTCATCTGCAGAGAGAGCGAGAGAACATTTCTTCCCCACCCTCTCTTCTTTCCGCTCTGTCCACCTGGAACTCCTATCATCCGAAGCGGAAATGATGGCGCAATCTCCCACATCCCTTGAGATTTCTTGCCCCAGACTTGCCTTTCCTGCTTTGCGTTTGGGAGTATTCCTCGAATTACCCTCCTGGTCTGGTCATCTGCTCTTTAATGTGTTCCGACTCAGCTCCTCCACTGCAGGTCTTGGTTTGTATTTGCCATTCTTCCAGCAACCAACAGAATCACGAATTCGCTTTCGTTTTCACCCAGTATTTTCCTGTGAGGAAAACCCCACTCCTGACTCTGCGGGTGTTGAGCACACCTCTTGCTGTTTAAATGGCAGGTGTTCAGCCTTGCAGTGAAGATGCCTGTGCCCCACATCAGGGTGCCGGGTTTAGTCCGGCTCAGGCTCCGGTCTCCAGCTTCCTGCTAGCGCAGGCCGTGGGAGGCAGCCATGAAGACTGGGGACGCTGAGTTCCTACCACCCATGTAGAAGACCTGGATTCGGGTCCTGGCTCCCAGCTTTGGCCCCAGCTCCTATTGTGGGCACTTGGGGAGTGAGCCAGTAGCAGATGAGAGCTCGCCCTCTTGCTCTCTCACTCTCTCTTTCTCTCTCTCAAATAAATGAGAAAAAAATTTTTTTAAGTTTTCTGTTTCCTTTATTAGCTGTTTCCTTCCGTGTCAGTTCCCCCTGGCTGGGCTGGGTCTTTCTCTTCCGTGATGTTGGTTTTTCCTACGTGTGTGCTCATCTTGTTAAGATTCCCTCCTGGCCTGTCTGTGGGCAGTTCCCACTCACTCTCTCCAAGAGTTAGGACTGAGGGGCTGGAGGTGTTGCTGGGGGGCTATCATCTGTACCCCCCATTCCTCTGGGACTTCCCTGAGTTTCAGGTTCAAGTACTGACCAGGACTCGGGTAAAGGGCCCACTTCCTCTACCTGCCCATGTACTGCAAAGGAGGGGTCCCTGACGGTAACTGATCACCGCTGGCCGCCGCAGGCCCTCCCTCCCTTCCGGGACAGCTGCCTCTGAGCTTCGGCCACCTCCAGAACCGCTCTCTTACGGCAGTAATCCTCGTGGTGTCTTCCAGCAAGCCAATCTCATCTGCTTACCATTGTTCAGGAATTCCCCAACATTTCTGGCCGACTGGTGCAACTCCCTCTCTCATTTTTCAATGCTGCTAAGAGTTTCTTTTCATATAAACAGGCGCAACTTCTATCTTCTCCAGCTTTTCAGGGAGATCTCCAGACACTGCTGGTCCTCCAAACAGGACTGGTGCCATGGACTCACGGTCTTGCTCTGTGGACCAACGTTGGGACCGGATTTTCAGATTTTAAGTTGGCTGATACAAAAAGGCATCCACGTTTTGTAGAAGGGGAACTATGTTTGAGTTTACTCTCGTGAAAATGACGTGAAGATAATTATAGAGTTCAGAGAAAATGACCTGTCCGTGAATGGACTTCTGGGTACTGAGAGAGTGGGTTTTTCTAACACGGTCACAGGTATGGTCACTTCCTTCAGGGTCTCCTAGCCCTGAGGAACTACCAGAGCCCAGGCAGGCAAGGCAGATGGCCACTGCGGTCCTGCTGCTGTTCTGATCTGCCTGGGCCTGGGCCCTTGGAGTCCCATCTCCAGAAGTCTTGGAAAACGGCTGACGGCCACCAGGGGGAGCCCAGGAGCTGGAGCAGATCTGCTCACCGCAAATCAATACTGCCCCAAGACAAGAATAAAGCACAAGGAGCAAGAAATACCAAGAAAATGAACACTAGAAAAAGCAAATATATTGATGCAAATCCCTCCGTTCTAGAATCAGGGCACAGCAAAAGACCTGGGCTAATGGAGAGACCAATGAAGTCCTTGGATGAGAAAACTTGGCTTCATAAAAATGTCAATTCTGGTGGCTGGTGTTATGGTGCAGTAGGTTAATCATCCCATATTGGCACTGATTTGAGTCCTGGCTGTTCCTCTTCTGATCCAGCTCTCTGCTATGGCCTGGTAAAGCAGTAGAAGATGGCCCAAGTCCTGGGGCCCCTGCACCCATGTGGGAGACCTAGAAGAAGCTCCTGGCTCCTGGCTTCGGATCAGCACAGCTCCAGCTGTTGCAGCCATTTGGGGAGTAAACCAGTGGACAGAAGACCTTTCTCTCTGTCTCTCCCTCTCTCTCTCTCTCTCTCTCTCTCTCTCTCTGTAACTCTACCTCTCAAATAAATAAATAAAAATCTTTTTTAAAAAAAAGTCAATTCTGCCCCAAATTAGCCAGTGCATTAAAGGCAAAATCCCAAAAGAATTTTTATGAACTTTGACAAGCTTACTGCAACATTTTAAAGGCACATGTACAAGAATAGCCAAGAAATTATTGAAAACAGCTGTTAAGAGGGGTTTTGGTCTAGCAGATACAATATAAAGCTGTAAATCATTATAAAGTAATTACAGTAATTAAAACAGTGTGATATGAAGACAGCACAGACACTAAAATTATTTAGAAAGTAACAGTGGGTCTGGAAAGAGACTTGTAAATAAATGAGAAGTTAATGTATGATAAAGGTAGAAAAACAGGCTAGGACAGATGTCGCGGAACAAACCTCTCTGGGGGCAGGCATTCAGCACAGTGGTTTAAGTCATCGCCTGGGATGCCCACACCTGCTCGAGTCCTGGCTCCTCCACTTCTGATGCTGGGAGGCATCAGATAATGGCTCAAGTATTTGGGTCCCTGTCACCCATGTGGGAGACTTGGAGTAGGCTCCTGGCTCCTGGCTTCGGCCTGGCTTGGCCTGACTGCCGACGCCATTTTGGGAGGGGATCAGTGGATGGAAGCTCTCTCTCTCTCTCTCCCTCTCTCTCTCTGTGCTCTCTGTCTCTCACCCTCTGCCTTTCAAATTAAAAATAAACAAAATAAACCTCTAACCTTTATAAAATACGCGGCCTCAGGTATTTTGTTACAGCAATACAGAATAGACTAAGATAGATTTTCCCATTAGGAGAAGCTGTGTTGAAGGTCTACATGGAGTCTATATATTACAAACAAAATTAAACTGTCAGAATTCTATACTAAGCAAAAGTATCTCTCAAAAAAATCTCTCAAAAATGAAGATAAAGGGGACAGTGATGTGGCATAGTGGGTAAAGCCACTGCCTGCCGTACTGGCATCCCATATGGGCACAGTTCAAGTCCCAGCTGCTCCTCTTCTGATCCAGCTCTCTGCTATGGTCTGGGATAGCAGTAGAAGATGGCCCAAGCCCTTGGGCTCCTGTACCCATGTGGGAGACCCAGAAGAAGCTCCTGGCTCCTGGCTTCAGATCGGCATAGCTCGGGCCATTGCAGTCATTTAGGGAGTGAACCAGCAGATGGAAGACCTCTCTCTATCTCTGCTTCTGCCTCTCTGTAACTCTGCCTGTCTTTCTTTTTTATTTATTTATTTATTTCAAAGGCATCTTCTGCTGCCTTCCCAGGCCATAGCAGAAAGCTAGACCAGAAGTGGAACAGCTGGGACACAAACCAGCACCCACATGGGATGCCAGCGCTGCAGGAGGCAGCCCCACCCCCTATGCCTCAACACCGGCCCCTCTGCCTTTCAAATAAATAAATAAATCTTTAAAATAAAATGAAGATAAAATACAAATATTTTCAGACACACAAAACTAGATAAGCTTATTGCCAATTTTATCTACAAGAATGTTAAGAGAAGCACGACGCCACGTGACAAGACCTGGAAGATGGAATATGTGAATAAATATGAAAGGTCTTTTACTCGCCTTTTTCAACTCTTGAGGGATACCCGAGTGTTGGAAGCACAGCTAGTACCGTCCTACAGGATGC